TAGGATTCAGGGTCTGGTGGTGCCATATTGCCCTGGCTGTTGTTGATTGTGTTTTTACACTAGCTAGTAGTCATCTGGGTTTGGGTTTATTACAGGTTTAGGTGCCGATTTCTGAGTTTACTGTTGTTATGTGGGTTTGGTATGTTATTTCCCTTGTTTTCTGTTCTATCTCTGGCCTTCTGAACCACATGGCCTGGGGTTCTGCTGACAAGTGAGTCATCAGGTCCACTAGGGTGTCTCCACTGGACTTTTTTTTGGCCTATGTGATCTCTGAGGTTTCAAGTACCTGTGCAGCCTCTGGGGATCTGGGTTCCTGCATTGTCTCTGGGGTTCCTAGCATGAAAAGCAGAAGACTTCTACCAAGACTTCTTGTGGGCCAGATATGAGTCCAGAGGAGGGGGTCTTGCTGGGGCTTTGGAGAATGTTTTAAGGAGTGTTAGGAAGCAGTGGTGGTGTCTTACATGGGGTCTCTAGTTCTTGAGTGGCCTCCAGGAAAGCAGCCAGATTTGTGGGCTGGAATTTGGAGCCAAGAGGAGAGGGTTTATTCATCCATATCTAGGAGAGACTGTTTTACTTTAGACATCCTGGCATTCTGGCTTACACTCTTTCTGCTCCTTCTCCTGAGATGTTTTCTGAGCCATATATGCAGAATCTTTGATGTCTATTTATTGTTTTGGGCTGAGCTCCCTATGAGCCACTGATCTTTTCTATGACAGTTTCCATTTGTTGTATAGTGAGTTTTCTTTAATAAGTGGTGCAGCTATACTTAAATCTGATTTGAAACTAGGAACCACAGATGAAAGAAAACATGTGGCGATTGGCTCTCTGAGTATGGATTGCCCCACTTAATATAATATTTTATAGGCCCATCAATTTGTTTGAAAATTTAATGAATTAATTTTCCTCACAGATGAACAGTATTCCATTGCAAATATGTATCACATTTTTATTATTCATTAATCTGTTGGAAGACATTTTGGTCATTTCTACAGACAGTACCTTACTAGATTTCAGTGTAAATCTAGTAAGGAAAGAATCAATGGCTCATAGGGAGCTCAGCAGTCAAAATAAAAGATACACTAAATAAAGACAAGAAAGAAGACACAAAGAACAAAATAAGTAGCACATTAAACTCCTTATGCAGGAAAGATGTCAGGCTATTTAGCAATGAGATTTAAGGTGTAGATAAAATGACACTTCCTTAATTTAGGAAGTCCATAAAGTACATGATAAATGTAAAATATTGTGGCTTTATATGATGTATGATACAAAAAAGAAATTTAAATGATTCTACATATAATACACTTTATATTTTATTATAAATAATTTATAAGATTTTTACTAAGAACTATAAAATGTAGGAAAAAATAAAGATTTAAATAAAGATATTTATTTCCCACTTAATCCAAGCTGACATTTAGATTTAGTACAATAACATCCAGGATCCCTACAAGAGCTGTGTGTGTGAATATATATTATACACACCAATATAAATACACTTATTCACATACACACACGTAATATTTAGAGAAGAAAAACGATTTTAGAAAATTAAATTTGGGAAACTCACAGTATCTTCTTTTAAACCTTATTGGTCATCTATAGTAATCAACAAAGGAAAATTATGATTAAAGCCTAAAGAAATAGATTGAGGGCAATACTGAAACCAGTAAACTATCAACATTCATGTAGCCATTAGGGTTAGTTTAATGAAGACATGAAATACATGAAAGTTGTTGATAAATGATATATAGCCACATGGCTGGAATACAAAGAAACTTCAGCAGCCCCTTCAATAAGTTACAGCATGATGCACATTTCAAAATTAGTCAAACATGAAATTCAGTCTTAAAAACAAAAATGAAAACTATTAAAATGTTTGAGAAGACCAAGGAGGTCTTTTAGAGGAAATAGATGTTTCTTAGAGAAAATACAAAAAGCACAAACATTAAATATAAAAAAAAGAATCATATCAAAATTCAGAATTTCTGTTTATCAATATATGATCAAGAAAATGAAAAGATACATCATAGTTTGGGTTATAATAGTCACTATTATCAGGCACATAAATGGTCTCTGGATATATATATATATTCACACATATATACAAATATGAAGATGTGTATATAATTTACAAATACACACAACAAATCGAAAGAAATTTTAAAAAATTATAAATTTTATGTATATTTATATGTATGAGTTAGATAGCTATCTACATACACATATAATATACATATGCAAAATGTCAAGGTCAGCAAAGCTCTAAAAATCAGTAATAAAAAGACAACTTGATAGAATACATCTGTAAGTAGTTTGCAGAAGAAAATGTAGAAGAGAGTGCCAACAAACAGAAATATGTTTCATATTGGCAGTTGTCAGAGGAATCCAAGTTAAAGACATTTCAGTCTCATTTCAGCGACCAAAAAGGAGGCTGGCAGTAGTCAGCTGCTATTGGTGAGAATGTGGGATGACCTTTCTCTATCGTGATGGGTGTCAGAAAACCTCAGGCTCACTTTGGAAAATGAGCAATTTCTTCTAAAGTCAAATGTGCACCAACTTTTTGACAGAGTGACTTCACTCCTATGTATTTACCTACAAGATGCGAAATTTGTGCCCCTAAAAGCATTCAAGAATATTATAGAGAGCTTCTTCATAAAGTCTGCTGACTGTAAATAGTGCAGCATCAATTATAGTGGAATAATAAGCTGGGGTTTTGGTATTTTTGGTCTTACTGATTTTGTTTAATTTGACTATTTTATGGTTCTTATTGAAAAAGTGTGAGGGAGAAAGAACATGATGTTGGGTAGCCAGGGAGATGGGGAGGATCTGGGAGGAGTAGGGAAAGAATATGGCCAAAATATATTGACTGCAAAAGTTTTTAAATAAAAATAAATCTGGATTTTTGTAATAATATGGATGAATTTCAGAAATATGCTAAAATAATTTTGTGAAAACAGTCATATGACAAGAGACCCAAATCGTGTGTTTTCAGGGAAACAACAGTAAAAATAATAAGATCTACTACACAGCAGTTAGACTGCAGGAATCCCAGGGCAGGAACAGAACCAACGGCTTACAGCGGCACAGCTATAGGTACTGTCACTCACTGTGGTGGGAAAGCCAAATGGTGAGGCACTCTGGTGGCTCCTCATAAAATTAAACACATTCTTACCACATGATCCAGAATTTGATTTGAAATGTATCCCAGAGCCAGGAGCTCATGGACACAGAGAATCTCCTCACAGATGTTCCAGGCAGCACCACTGACAACTGCTGGACCTCAGAGACAGCCAAGGCCCTCTTCAGGGAGTGAATGGATCCCTGTGACTTATCCAGACCGTTGAATATGCCTTAGCACAGAAAAAAACAAACAAACAAACAAACAAACAAACAAAAAAACAAAAGCAAAAACAAACCCCCACAAAACCAGTTGTCAACCCACAGTAGGAGAAACCTTAGAGGCGGGATACTAAGTGAAAGAAGGCAACCTCAAAATTATACACGCCCTGCACACTTTCAGCTATGTCTTTTTCTGTGCTTTAAAAATGCTTCAAAATGGTGGTCTTTAAAAAAATCACAGAGAGCAACAAGACACGAAAAATACTGATTCAGAAACAATTCATACGAAGAGAAAAAGTAAAATAAGGAGGCATAGTCTTTACTTCTTCCCTTTCAGATGATACTCAACAAGTACCGTAGGGGAAAATGGGGCCAGAAGGCAGTGATGCAATTTGGGGGGGGGACCACATCATCTAACACAAATAATAGAGTACCCAGAGTAGTGGTTCTTGAATTAGCTGCCCCCTTGATCGTTGAGGGAACTCTAGAAATATGACATCGGGATCCATCTCCAAATATTTGATTTTGTTGGCCTGAAATGTGGCTATGGGGAATCTCATAAGCTTCTCGAGTGACTATATTTGGATTTATGAGTGAAGATTAGTGCTTCTGGCAGAAACTTAAAAAGATGTCTGCTCCAAGGAAAGACGTGAGACGAAGTCACTGCCAGCTTTGTAGTCAGTGCAGCTGGGGAAAAGGTTTGCTTGCTTGCTTGGAAAAACATAAGAATCACATCTATCAGAAACGGAGGCCCGAGAAGAAGATGCTCTTCAGCAGCATCCACACAGGAGAACCTTCCTTCCTGGGTGTGCTGCTGACTAACACCTGTAAAGGACTTAGATACCTCGTCTATAATTTCCTCTCTTGAGTCTTTAGGTCTGAATTTTGGAAAGCCTTCGCGGTTCAGTTCTTATGCAGGAAGACAAAGAGTTGTATCTTCCCAGACCTGCCTTGTAGCCGCTCGCTCGGGCAGACCACCTACCTAGATAGACAAAGGCGACTGGGCAGACTCCAGAGCTGCGGCAGATGTTCGGACAGCCAAATCGCTCTTCTCTGTCTGTAAAACAGGCAAAGCACACTTTAGATTCGACATAGTTGCAAAATGAAGCCTAGTCATGGTCCCAGTTGAGTTTTTATGTGGGACCTTTTGAAGCTGACATTACGGCATAATTTTTTTTTCTGCAGGATTTTTATTTTTTTTATCTTATGTTTCCATGAAAATTGTGGGGGTCTGAAGAGTATTGAATGGTTGTCACGGTAGTAACCATTTTCGTGTGTGATTCTAGTACTAGTTTTGAACAAGAGTCTTAGCAAACGTCTTTAAAAACTGGACCTTTTCTTTAAGGCTTGCTATTCTTTTAGAAGAAAAGGCTTCCCATGGGGCACAGTCATCAATAAAGAGCTTTAGTGCAGACAGGATTTACAATGACTCTCTCTCTTTTTCTTTTTTTTTCTTGTGTGTGGGGGTTCATTTTACCAAACACGTGTAAAGTGCCAACACTATTATATTTGCTTAGACCACACAGAGTATCAATTTATTCTACTATTAGAGAGTCTATTGAGATCAAGTAGAAAGAATTCCAGTTACGCTTTTTGGAAGAAACTGTCAAACTTCAGGAAGAATCAGAGGTGTATTTGTGTGGGGGCTAATTCATGACTTATCGGAGTGTCCTGGGAAGTTTCTTGTGGACTCTTCTCACCTTTCGGCTGCTTTGAAACCAGAATAGCATGGTCTCTATGGCTCTTCTCAGCTTGGCATTGCCTGATATAAGGAAGGCTGCGTGTCCCGAAGGGCAAGCCGCCATCATGGCGATACAAACCATCACTCCTCCCTTGTGGTGCCACAGCACCAGTAAGGGCACAGAGATCAAAGCAGCGCAGAGAGACACCACATAGAAGCAGAGGAAGGAGACCAGAAATACGATGGCTCTGATATGGGCCTCAAGGCTGGGGTCACCGGAGTCTCTGGTTTGGGACTTCATAGCCCTCATGTGACTTCCCAGAGAGACAAACAGCACTCCAGAGGACACCAGGAAAGCTAGAGAAGGGGGTATAGTCCCCACATTGCAGAAGATGAATGAATAAAAGAAATTGAGTTTTGCAATTTGCAAATTAAATTCTGTGTTGTTCATGGGTAACACGGAGGTGACTGTGGAGTAAGATCTGCTAAAAAAGTCCCACAAACAGAGCACAGTGCAAATGCAGGAGAAAAGTAAAGCTACTAGAAACATCTGGAGAAACCTCCTGGAGACCCATCTTGCTAAGTGGAGGAGGAAGGGGTGAGAGAAACGGACGATCTTGAAGCAGTAGAGGAGACTGAGGCAGGCAGCGAGCCAGAGGCTCACTTGGTTTGCGATCATCCAGAGAGTGAGGATGGCTTGGTAGGTGTGACTCAGTGGGTCTTCCATCTTCTGGAAGCAGGCGAGCTGAAGAGCGTCCAGAAGCAGGAGCCCCTGCAGGAAAAGCCGCGTGATGCTGAGACACAGCAGTACAACGTCACAGTGGTTCAATGGCCGCCTTTTTACCATGTCCCAAAAGTTCACCAAGACAATGAATGCGTTGGCCAGAATCCCCACTGCAAACTCCAGGACAGAAAGGAAAAGGAATGAAATCTTGGCTTCATAAGACACGGTTAAGATGGGAGTCAGAGCCAACATGATGCTCCTCTGTTTAACTAACCTAAAACTCCAATTTCACCCTCCAAAGCAGGAAAGAGTATCTCTTGAACTGAGGTCTTTCTTTCACAAGGGTTCTAACCTTGACCAAGGTTTTTTCTCTTTCTTTTTTCTTTTCTTTTCCTTTTCTTTTCTTTCTTTCTTTCTTTCTTTCTTTCTTTCTTTCTTTCTTTCTTTCTTTCTTTCTTTCTTCCTTTCTCTCTTTCTCTTTTCAAGGCACACAATAAGTCCCAGGAGGAAACCTGGAAGGCTGCTGTCAGTTTAGAGTATCTCTCTCAAGGGTACACATGAATGCTTATGGTAAGGGTGGAGCAATGATGGTTCTTCCTCTTGGATGATTCAAAAGGTGTACCTACTCGGTAGCCCCACCCAGAAGTTACAGTGCAGCAACAGGAATCTAAGCAAGATTGAGTTTCAGTTCCCCAACTAGGCAGGGTCCGGTTTTACATGTCCACAAGGACATGTGGGCATGGAGAAGAGGAACATTTGTTTATGGGTGTCAGGAACACAGCCTGCAGGCAAAACAGAGGTTGTAAGTGACCTAGGCTTTGAGATGGGCTCTTTTCATATTTGCATTTTTTTTCACAACCGAGGCCTGAAGTTTTTTCACAACTTAAAGCACCATAAGTTTGCTTTAATATGATGAAATGAATGGTCCTATCTGAGAATTCTAAATACTCACCCCTTACAATGAATACCAGATCCAACCTATATAGGATGAAAGCAATGGGGTAGACGTGAAGAGAGGGCAGGAAAGTCACAGTGAAGATCAGAGAAAACAAGCCAGTGGGGACTATATAGAAACTGCTGTTCATACATAAACACAAGTCATTCCTTATTGGAAGAGGTCACTTTTCTTAAAGTGAAAGTACTACTGAATGACCACAGACTGTAAACATGGCTGAAAGAAACAACTTGACATTAGCAGAATAGAACATTGGCAGAAAATAGACTAGGTAGTGACATCCTGAAGGAGAAAGGGCGTCCATGGTAGAGAGTACAAAAACAAACAAGCAAAAAATAAACAGAAACAAAACAACAAAACAAACAAACTCAGAGAACATTACTTGAATGAGTCTAGAGAAAGAGAGGTTGTTTTACTAACAGAGGGAGCTGGGGTGGCCTGTGTGGAAGTGAGACACAGGGGGACAGTTGAAGGGGGACAGTTCAGGCTATGCTGGTGGCCAAAACAACTTCTTTGGTTTTTGTGTGAGTTAAAATATCAAATGAACAGTGATTGGTTTCCTTGCCCACACACCTCAATTAGTACATGGAGATTGGCTTCAGTCATTTCCCTAGGGGCAGGCAGATGTGGTTACGTATGGCTTGTGTCACTCTGGTGGAAAAGGCAGGAATATCTTCTCTCAGCAAGTGTGAATACTGAGGATGAATCCCTGCTCCTGGGTACCACATATTACTGGGAAAATCGGGATCACCTCTTGGTGTTCTTGGTCTCCTTATCAAGAGAGTAAGGATGAACTCAGAAGGAACCTTAGGGACAATTTTAAGAGTTTAAAAGAAAAACCGCAGGGCAGGCAGCTGCCCCATTGAGGAAGATGGAGAAGAGTAAAAGAGAAAACCATAGCCTTTGTTACCACATGGTGGGAGGTGGCAGTGGCTAACAGCTTTAGATGAAAAGACTCAAGTTAGCAAGTATCCAGAAAAGTGTGCCCAAGCCACAGCCAATATCCAAGAAAAAAGAGAGAAGGAAAAATTGAGAGAACAAAAGAAAGAGAAAAGAGAATCAAAGAGTGAAGAAAAGAAAAAAGGTTGCAGATTTCTGAGTTAGAAAATCACCAACATAGTTACATGTTATAGCTCCATAAGCTGCTGAAATTGAATCAGGGTGTGGAAGAAAAAGCACATTATGTTATTAATGAGATAATTACTCCTCTAGTCTCTTCAGCATTACTTACAGTAAAGCAGCCTTTTAGGAGGTGTGCTCTACCAGGTAGCTGACAGGTCTAGCTGAGTTAACCCATGTTTTGGGTAGTTTAAGCCAGAGGTAGATTTAATTCTTTTAATCAGGAGAAAATAGCTTTTTATGGGGTGCCCTCAACAGAATCCCTCAAGGTTCTTATATCATTCTTCACTCTGAAGAAGTAACGCCATATAACTGTAACTGGGAAAAGAGCATAATCTTTTCTACTGTGAACAGTGAACACAGAGACTTTAGTTCCAAAGCCATCCAAGGGAAGGGGTCAGTGTCTGGACTACAGTCTCATTCATCTGTACTGCTGCCAAGCAAGGGTGCTCACTTAGGAAAAGATAAACCAGAGTGCTCCCTGACATTCCTGCCCTCAAAACAAGGACGTTTCCTGCTTCTGTCAATAGCTTACTGCTCAGTTTTTAGTTTTGCCCTTAAAGTGACAAATTAACTCCCATTTCCTGTTCTTATCACAGTTTTCCTAGATAATCAAATAAAAGAGACCAAGTTTAAGTGTTCTCAATCCCTCTGTCAGATATAGGGTTGGTGAAGATCTTTTCCCAGTCTGTAGGCTGTCATTTTATTCTGATGACAGTGTCCTTTGCTTTACAGAAGCTTTTCAGTTTCATGAGATCCCATTTATTGATTGTTGCTCTTAGAGCCTGTGCTGTTGGTGTTCTGTTCAGGAAGTTGTCTTCTGTGCCAATGAGTTCAAGGTTCTTCCCAACTTTTTCTTCTAACAGGTTTAGTGTATTTGGTTTTATGTTGAGGTTTTCAATCCACTTAGACTTTAATTTAGTGCAGGGTAATAAATATGGATCAACCCCCATTGCTGGTGGGAATGCAAACTTGTTAAACCATTTTAGAAATCAATCTGGATCTTTCTCAGAAAACTGGGAATATCCCTACCTCAAGACCTAGCTACATTACTCCTGAACATATACCTGAAAGATGTGCCACCATATGACAGGGACATTCAATCAACTATGTTGATAGCAGCTTTATTCAGAAGAGCCAGAATCTGGAAACAAGCTAGACATCCATCAACAGAGGAATGGATACAGAAATTGTGGTTCGTTTACACAATGAAATACTACTCACCTATTAAAAACAAGGAAATCATGAAATTTGTAGGCAAATGGATGGAACTAGAAAAGATCATCTTGATTGAGGTAACCCAGAAGCAGGAAATACACACATGGTATATACTAACTTACAAGTGGATATTAGTCATATAATACAGGATAAACATACTAAAATCTCACATGAACTCAGTGGCTGGCTCTTTGATCACTCCCTCTGAGTGGGGAGCAGCCTTACCAGGCCACAGAGGAAGACAATGCAGTCAGTCCTGATGAGACCTGATAAGCTAGGGTCAGATGGAAGAGGAGGAGGACCTCCCCTATCAGTGGACTTGGAGAGGGGCATAGGAGGAGCTGAGGGAGGGAGGGTGGGGTTGGGAGGGAATGAGAGAGGGAGCTACAGCTGGGATACAAAATGAATAAACTGTAATTAATATAAAAAAATAAAAATTTAATTAAAAAACTTACTAAAATCTGTAGTTCTAAAGAAGCTAAACAACAAGGAGCACCCTAGGGAGGATGCTTAAATCTTACTCAGAAGGGCAAACAGGATAGACACAAGAAACAGTTGAAGAAAGGGAACAGGAGGGGATGGAAGCAGTTACAGAGACTCACAGGCAAACTTTGGGCAACACACAGAAAGTCTTATGAAAGAAAAGGTGTGTGTGTGTGGGGGAATAGAAGAAGCTGGAGGGGACAGGGACTCCACAGGAGACTAACAAAGCCAAAAAATTCTGGGCCCAGGGAGGCCTGCAGAGACTGATGCATCAACAAAGGACCATGCATGGAGAGGACCTAGACCCTCTCTTCAGATGTAGTCCATAGGTAGCTCAGTCTCCAAGTGAGGCCTCTAATAAGGGGAGCAGGGTCAGTCTCTGACAGAAACTCAGTTACCTGCTCTTTGATCACTTTCCCCTGGAAGGATGGACTTATGAGGCCACATAGGAAGAGAATCCAGGCAGTCCTGAGAGACTTGACAGGCTAGGGTCAGATGGTAGGGGTGGAGGACTCCTCCCTTTTAGTGAACTAAGGGAGGGGGAAGAGGGAGAAGAGGAAGGGATGATGGGACTGGGAGGAGATGAGGGAGGGCGCTACAATCCGGATACAAAGTGAATAAATTGTAAAAAAATAATTAAAAAAGTACTTTAAAAATCGATTAATTAATTACAGTTTATTCACTTCATATCCCAGCTGTAGCCCCCTCCGTTATCCCCTCCCAATCCTATCCTCCCTCCCTCTTCTTCTCCTATGCCCCCCCCCCCCCAGTACAGTGATAGGGGAGGTCCTCCTCCCCTTCCATCTGATTCTAGTCTATCAGGTCTCATCAGGACTGGCTGCATTGTTTTCCTCTGTGGCCTGGTAAGGCTGCACCCCCTCAGGGTGAGGTAATCAAAAAGCCAGCCACTGAGTTCATGTCAGAGACAAACCCTGTTCCCCTTATTAGGAAACCCTCTTGGACACTGAGCTGCCATGGGCTACATCTGTGCAGGCATTCTAGGTTATCTCCATGCATTGTCCTTGTTTGGAGTATCAGTCTCAGAAAAGACCCCAGTGCCCAGATTTTTTGGTTCTGTTGCTCTCCTTGTGGAGCTCCAGACTCTTCCAGGTTTTACTATTTCCCCCTTCTTTCATAAGATTCTCTGCACTCTGCTCAATGTTTGGCTCTGAGTCTCAGCCTCTGCTTTGATACCCTGCTGGTTATAGTCTTTCAGAGACCCTCTGTGGTAGGCTCCTGTCCTGTTTCCTGTTTTATCTCTCTTCCCATGTCCATCCTCTTTGCCTTTCTGAATGAAGATTGAACATTTTACTCAGGGTCCTTCTTTTTGTTTAGCTTTTTTAGGTGTACAGATTTTAGTATGATAATCCTATATTATATGTCTAATATCCACTTATAAGTGAATATATCCCGTGTGTGTGTCTTTCTGCTTCTGGGATACCTCACTCAGGATGATCATCTCTAGTTTCCACCATTT